AAAAGCTCTTGTACTATGCACTGCAAGTTGCCATGATTAGGAGGCCACAGGAGACTGCCAGGGCTGGGAGGGCCTGGTAAAAAGGGAGGGGCGACAGAAATTCTTCATTCAACAAGCCGCCAGCTTGTTGTGAGCCCAAATGGGAGCTTTGGGGATGTGTGTGAGAGAGATAAGGAGGTGACAAAGTCATTTAGAGGACAAGCAAAGTACCCAGTCCCTGTGAAGGGTGTTCTGTTTTAGAATAAGCTACCTACCCGAAACTCTAGGGAGGGAGGGTGGGGGAACTTCAAAATGAGAGGGCTTTGGAGAGTTCACTGAAAAACGAAATTAACGAGCCATCATTACACAAGCTGTTCGAAGCCACCTCACAACTGACCTGGCCACATTTCCCACTTCATTCACACACCCTTCCCTACCATTCTTTGAGACATTCAAAAAAGACCTCCCTTTGCCTGGAACACTTTTCCACCCAGCACCCAAGGCTGGCTCCTTCTCAGAATTCTGGTTCCGGTGCAATGTCACTAGCTAAACATATCCCGTACTCACTATCCAAAAGAGCAACTGCCCGCCGGCCTGGATGCCATTCACCTATTTCTTCATTGTGCTCTTCGTCCCCTTAAAAGACCTCATTTAATGTGCTTGCTTGTTTAAGCAAGGCCTGTCTCCCCCACCCCAATGGACACTCCACAGGAAAGCAGGGACCTTGTCCGCCTGGTTCCTGGCTGCCCCCCAAGTGCGGGGGCACACGGCCGGCGTTCTATAAATATTGGCTGGCGCCGTGGACAAAGATCTGAAGTTGGGGAGAATCTCCGATACTGGGGGTAGGTGGGGGGGGTGGGGGGATCAAGGACCGTTGCAATGCATTCCATGTGGGCGAACAGGATACTGGGACGGCTAACTGACCAGGCGGCAGGACCTGCGGAAGAGCCAAGAGGAGACCCAGCTCCCCGGTGGGACCTCGAAGGGGGGATGGAGGGATAGGGAGGATGTGGGGGGGATGGGCGGGGGCGCTCACCAGCCGGATGGCCGCCAAGGTGTTCTCCGGCGCGTCGTGGCAGCCCCCGCGGTGGGCGATGGCGGAGATGCGGCCGTGGGGCTTGAGCACCTGCAGCGCCCTGGCCGAGGGCACCGGCTCGAAGCTGAAGCAGCGCAGCAGGACGTAGAGGCTGCCCGTGAGCAGGCCGGCATTGAAGGGGCTGCGCGTCAGCAGCAGCAGCAGCAGCAGCAGGAAGGAGAAGGGGCCCAGGAGGCCCCCTTGCTCCTCCCACAGCCACATGCCGGCGCCCGGACCGGCGAGGACGGGAGTCCCGGACCCGCCGGGCTCCCGGGACAGGCGAGCGACAGGAGGGAGAGACCGGGAGGCGCCCGCCCCAGATGACACCTGGGAGGGTCCCAGCGCCGCACAATGGCGGCGGCGGACCCAACCGGCGAAAGAGACGGATGTCTAGCCAATCAGAGCCCGGGATCCCCGGAGCGCAGGGCGGAGCCGCTGCCACGGCAACGGGGGGCGGGCCCTGGCCCCAGGTTCAAGTTCAAAGTGGTTTGGGGGCTTTTCAGCCGTAGGGCGACTTCAATGGACTTTCGGATGTGCAAGGAGGGAAGAGACGCCCGACCAATGTAGGGCCGGAAGGGGTCTGAGTGACGCCTTTTTTCCTACTCCGGAGGAAACTGAGGCCAAGGGGTCTTGACAGGCAGGGCGCTGAGCCTATCTATGTATTGCATTTAATCCAAGGCGTGCCGAACACCTTTCTAGGTCCCAAGGGCACAGCCATGAACAGGACCAATAGGGTTCTTGCTCTTGTGGAGCTTCCATCCGAAAGAAGAGAAAGAGCTGGAGACTTAGTCAGAAGAGCTAGCCTTTCTAGAGCCCTCCCTGTGTCCCAGGGCCTGTGGCCAGCGAACACTTTCTGGATCTCATTTATTCTCCTAAGTCTTAGTAGACAGGTACTATCTAAGCCTCAGTTGACAGGTACTATCTAAGCCTCAGTTGACAGGTACTATCTAAGCCTCAGTTGACAGGTACTATCTAAGCCTCAGTTGACAGGTACTATCTAAGAAGAGCCACCACTAGTTCTGCAGTTCGTCGTACTGTGGCGACTTGTGTGTGGTGATGCTGAAGCACTGGGCTCAAACAGAAGAACAATGGTGAGGGAGCACCCCATCGTATGTGGGGTCGCCCTGAGGCCGAACCGACACCACGGCACCGAATGACAGCGACCTC